GGATTATTTGAACATTATAGAATATAGAATGTCAACCATTTTAAAGTAACCTCACTTAGTTGGATATTAAAGGACTTGCCACCTATCTTTTACTAAGTTTATAATTAATCATATCTATAAAATTCTGCCAATTGGATTATCTCCAAGCATATTATGATGTCTCCTCATCTTCTCAATTAGATTTGTTATTTGAATCCCAAAAGATTTTGCATATGGCATTAATATGACTCCAATTGGTACTACTCCATCAAACTTCTCCATTGATACAATGTGACCAATTTTTATTTCAAGTAATGACTATATACTACTCCCCGGCTCACAAATCATAGTCCATGTGCTTTAAGGTGTTATTTATATTGCCTAGTGCATAAGAGAATGTTGATCCACTACTTATAAGAGTTAAAGACATGTATGGCATGAATCCCACATTGCCAAAATTTGCCAATCATATATGACTTAGCCTTCTTTTTTTATAAATATAACCTCTTTGGCCTCTAATTAAGAGGTACTCTTGTAATAACTCAAACTCTTAACTATCGAGGCATTGTCCTCTTTTGACTAATGGTTTCACAATTTTGTCCCATTGATGTAACTTCTTAGGAGGTCACTCATCTTTGAATTGCTTTCGTACATGCATGCTTAATTTAGAGTTTCTTAATGAAGTTTAACCAATACATCAAAATGCGTATCAATGTTTAAGAGTTTGGCTTCTTTTTTACATAAGAGATTTCACAATCTCTCCTACTTAAGTCACTTACATTCTCATTAATATCCTTATCTCAGAACCATCCATTGGGTAGATAGGATTCTAAAGGCGGCCCCTACAAGTTTACGTCGTGACTCTTGTTATGAATATTGTGTCTCTCATATAGGGTTTAAGAGGTAGCCCCCATGACGTAGCACTGCTTTATTATGTATGACACTTAGTTCCCATCTTTCGATTGGTGTATTACTCTGATACTATTTTATAATAGTCTAAACTCTTAACTATTGAGGTATTGTCTCATTGGTATAACTTCTCAGGAGGTCACTGATCCTAAAATTACTCCCGCACAAGCACACTTAACCATGAAGTTTCTTAATAAAATTTCAATTAATACACCAAAAGTCGCATCGATATTTAAGAGTTTTAACTTATTTTTATTTAAGAGGTTTCACACTTCTAGATATTACATTACAAAAAAAGTTGTCTAATATGATGATTAATTTCATGGGCAAAAGGCACTATCCATTAATAAATTTATTGCTAACAGACTTTATAGTCAAAATTTGATATTATTAAAACTCTTGTAGGATATTAAAATTTTTTATTGATATTATTATTGATAGAAATTCCTTCAGTAATAGCAATAAAGTCTTATTAATGAACATAGTCAATTTTGAAGATGGAGTTTAAGTAATGAATATTAATTAAAAAATGTTGGCAATAATCATTAATGGAACTTGTGATGAAAAATATTATTGTGATATCTCTAATGAAAATTCTATCTTTACAACTATCTTTTTTGCTTGAAGTATTACTACTGATCTCTCTTGGTATGATCTTTTTCTCGGTTTATCCTTCCTAGGTTTGAAATATTCTCGTTTTTATCATGCTCGTATTAAAATTAAATTTTCTTACCAGTGGCTATGATGCACATATACGAACACAGTGATGCAGATATGACACGAGACACACAAATTATTGAAAATATAAGACACATATATGGGTTGGACACTGCATTATAATTTTTATATTTTAAAAATAATGTATAAAAATTGAATAAATATAGTATTAAAAATAATTTAGAAATAACAAGTCATTTAACTAAAATTTGTGCTTAAAATGATTAGTATTAGGATGTCGAGAGTCAGATAGATGTTGATTGCCGTGTATCAAGCAATGAGAGATCAGAGGACCAAGGAATGCTGTCTAGAGTCGGGCTTTGCATGTTCAGGGCAATATAGTATATACACGTCGATTGTCAAGAAGGCATCTGTCGTCAGATGTTGCGAGGCGTTGGTTGTCACGATGTTAGAACGATGTCTGGACAAATATGACGTTGTCCAGTTGTGGGTGATAGAAATTATTAGAGGTGTGAGCTATTCAATGTCAAGACAAGTGTAAACAGTCAATGTTGAGATGTTTTTAAATGTCAATGTAATAACGGATGTCAGAGATCATGTTTAAATGACAGTTCGATGCATTATTGTGAAATCAATAGTCGCGACTCCCCCAAAAGAGAATGAAAGGAAAATATTGATGAATGGGTATGAGTGGCAGGCGATGGATTTGAATGTTGTGGACATGAAATAAGAAATTTAGTTTTATAATATTTTTAAATAAATAAAACGTTAAGTACAAGAATATACTTAAAAATTTATAAAAATCTAAGACACCTGTAAAGTTTATTTTAATATTTTGTAATCATGACAACATTTTCAACGTGTGCTGAAACCTGTTCGGATGTGTGTTGTAGAATATCCCGCTGTCATCGCAATCTGCACCGATTCTTAAAAAAATATCATGCTTCATAAGATCACTGGATGATTGATTAAATCCATCAATTATTACAATTAATAATCCATCGATAATCATATCACCAAAAATTCGCGCTACTTTTGCCAATGTTGTGACAATTTTTCACTCAATCTATTAGTTGTTAACAGACTATTTTTCCTTGTTGTGGGACTTTTGAGAGCATTTTGAGATGAAACTCAAATCTAACTAAAGAAAATCAAGAAGCTATTGAGAATGGAGAGCTTGTATCTTCATCATCTTTTCTCAATGTAGTGATCATCTTCACTCTTCCTCAGAAGTTGTTATATATAGAATTGAACGAGAGATGACGCAACCTTTAAGATGATAGGTAGAAGTAAAAGTCATCTCTTCTCT